CGCACGTTTCAGGAAGGAGCGGAGTATTAGGAAATTAATTCGCCCTCTGAGCACCTACATTTCTAAGTTCGACGAAAGAGAACGCGGTTCACAATCTTGGGCGTCTTGTGGTTTCAAATGAGACCGTCTGCATTTATGCGCTATTTTGAATGACATCATATGGGTCATACGTCGTACGCTTTTACAAAAAATAATTAACTAACTTGAAAAACTGGCATTCGCGCAGCCGACTTTCAAAATGTTAAAATCGGATTTCCCGCTCCTTTCCCTTTCAAGCTAGACCTTCTAGAACTTAAAATGAAAGTAAAGCTATGAAATACTCTGCTTGGTTAAATAATTGACAGTTAAATCTTAGAAGCAACAAAATAATCTTTTCAGTCAACGACAGTAAGGTTCTCTGAAGCGATGTGAAAAAAAAAACCGAACTTTTGACTTTAAGCGAGGCCTCACGACAATTTGAAGTTTCCAAAGCCCAACACGATATTTTTGGCTCTCATCTGCAGCCTTTGCAGCTCGGCTAGTAAGTAGGTTTAATCATGCATTTTTATCCCTCGTAAGATAGGGTTCGTAACATTTACAATTAGAGATGACGGTATCATGTTACATTTTCAAACTTTGAAAAAGGTTTTTACCTTCCTCCCTTGGTTTCTTGTTGGTGGACGGCTGGCTCTGCAAAGTGTTCAACTTTTCCTTGAGGGTTCCAATTTCACTTCCCAAACGCTCTAGCTTAGCTCTGGCCCTTTCTGAGGAACGATTTTTTCATTGTTTACTGTCCATTATATTTAGTCAGAAGCCCATTACCTGGAGCTTCCATCTTCCATACTGACCCTTTGAGCCAACCCTGTCCCGTATCTCTCTATTTTTAGAAGCACATCCCACGGCGGTTTTCGCGGGTGTTTTTGTATTAGCCAATCATAAGAGAGCTGTCGTCTCTACTGTGTTACGTCTCTATTGTGTCACTTGCAGGCCGCACGAAATTATTTCAATAATGGCGGAAAGCGCGGAAAGATTAAAAAACCCCCGCAAATATCTCAGTTCTAAAATTAAAAAGATACGGGACAGGGTTGACTCAAGGGTACAAATGAGATGGAAGCTCCGGGTAATGGGCTCCTGATTCAGTTTGTTAATATCATACAAACGTATTAACAAAATTTCTTAGAGAGGACGTGTGCTTACTGTTATAATTTAATTAAATTAGGATAAACAATTTATATCATCAAGAAACATAATTCTTTTTATAAAAGAAATGCCANGCATGCTACACTTGGAATGTTCTCAAAGCGAGTCTCTCAGCATTTTCAAGCATTCTGAGAAATAAATTTCTAGTTTTACATGGTGAAAAAAATGACTGTTGATGATTCACAAAGCTACTCTTACTCATTAGCGCAAAGTGGCTGCCTGTTAACAGCCTTGGGATAATTTACAACATTGACAACTGAAATGACTGGTCAAACTATAGCTATGCATTTCGGTCTTACCGTTACGCATACCAAATGCAACAATAACAGCCTACACAGAGAACAAGCTGTGAAACTGACTTTCTCGGCTCCCCTATACTCAATACACCTCAATGTTTTTGGTGTCTAGTCCCATATTCCAGATTCCCGTTCTTTATAAATTCCTTATGCAAATTAAACTCGACTCGGATCGAAAGATTCCAACGCGTGTCTAGAATATTCCATGGTTGTTATCAGAACAGACGCTTGTATCCTTAAACTTATTGCTACTTCAAATTGTGCAAGTACACCACGTAAGTCTTAAACAACACAGCAAAGAAGACAAACTGATTTCCAAATAATTCAGCACGAGAATTATTTGCCAAGTCTTCGCATATTTTATTTTCAACTTCCGCTTTAATTTTGTAGATCAAATTTGATTCCAACATGTTGTGTTATACGGCCAAAACAAAAATCGATTTCAGATGTTACTCATTGTATAATCTAACCTACACATTTAAAAAAGTTTGCCATGCTCCCACCAATAACGTAGCTCCATTTTCTGCCTTTAAAAGCACACACAACCCACAATTCCTCTATTCGCTCCGACGAAGGGCTAACGCTCGAAACGTCAGCTTTTGTAATCATTACGGTGGCTAATTTACCATTTCAACTTTGTTGATATACCCAAATTATTATGCAGAGTAAAGGACTGGGAAGCCGTGATAACGTTTTGACGGTGTGCGTAAGTGCGTTTCTCTACTTTCTTAATGAGCGATTCTGCTCGAGGCGTATGTAAATATCATATATTAC